GCGGGGCGGGGCTTACGACCCGCCTGGGGGTCTCGGCAGGTGTGCGACGACCCGGAGGAGCTGCGGAGGAAGGTCCGGGAGCTGGCCGGCGCCGTGCGGAACGCCGAGTACCTGGTCGTCTACACAGGCGCGGGGATCAGCACGGTAGGGAGGCGGGCGTGGACGGTCGCGCACCCGGGTCGGCTTCTGGGTCCGGGACAAACCCGGAACGGGGACGGGCCTGGGGCGCCCCCTTCTGGGTGTCTCACCCAAGGACCGAGTAAAGTACTCGAAGTTGAGTAAAAGTACTAATTCGCAAAAAACTCACTTTAAAAGCAGTATTGAGGTTCTTTCCTGTCTTAGAGAAGCTGGAAAAGACTCAATTTGAAACCTCACTAAGTCGGTGAATACTTTGAAAAGCTTGAACTCTTAGAGACAGGAAAGGAAGAGAAATATAAACCGGCCATAATAACTTAGTTTTTGCAGGCATCTCCTTTAAAGTTAAGGAGGTTAATTTACCGTCCCAAGGTTATGTGGGCAGAGAGAAGCCCAAAACTTTGTCTGATTCCCTGTTCACTTTTTGAACGTTGAAGGAAAGTAAGCAGAAAGTCAGGCAGTAAGAATTAGAGTATCCTAGGTAAAGAAGAGGTTTTGAGTTCTACTGAGAAGCTCTCCTAGGCCATGGAATACGTATGACAAGCTCTGACAGTGTTGATGGTACATTATTTATCTAATCGATGGGCGTGTGTTGAGTGTGGCCCGTGTGTAGGCCCAGCAGAGGTGAACACCGGGGATTCTGTCCAGGCCGTAGCTGACAGTGACGAGGCATATGAGCAGTGATGTGAAGTTGTCTGTTAGGTCACTAGAATAGAAATCCGGATGCGCCCTCTGTGGTCGCAGAGGGGAATCTATCCTGGCTGGTTTTTGTCGGCACTGAGACTGGGCCTTAAAGGGTCACTGAGTCTGGGCCTTGAAGAGTGGACACGAGTTTACAGGCAAAGGCGAGAGTGAGACACTTCGAACGGGTAATCACAGAGGCCCAGCAGCGAGAACATGTCACATGCGTCGACTGCTCTAACTTACAATCATCCAGAGCCCTGGCAGTCTGGTCTCCTCCCTCCAGAGCCACATGTGAACTCCCATCATGCAATTATTTAAAAGCAGTAAAATTACCTCTCAAAGAGCTGCAAGTGGCTGCTTAAAGCCACAAGCTACTTGATAATTTGCTCCGAGCATTGCTGTTTGGGGTCCTGCTCTGTGACGTGCGTCAGAACCACCACTCAGGGTGAGTGTTGTTGTGAGCTCGGGCAGCAGGGAGCAGATGGCCCCCAGCAGGAGTACAGGACACTGATGGCGGCGCTCCTTCGCGCTGGGTCTCGGGTGCCTTCGTGTCACTGGATTGGGAAGCTGGGGGATTTGGCAGTGTTTACCTCACCCGTGGAGGTTGGCCTGTCTTTGCGAGGGTAGGGAAGGAAGCAGTTACAGCATCTGGACATGTCCAAGAATGTGGATAGAAGAGAGACCCCACCTAGAGGTTCATCATTTGCTGTACCTGTTATGAGTGCTGGCTAGGCCCTAGGGACACACAGGTGAACCTGACCAGCACCCCCCTCAGTGTGGAGGACACATGTGTCCGCAGAGCCAGGCTGTACTTGGTGCTGGAAAGTCTGGAAGGTGAGCTAGAGCAGGTGGGGGTGGGGGTCCAGGCAGAGGGACGGAGCCACGTGGGGCGCACCTCATCTGGGTTCAGGCAGCTGAGACTGAGAAACGCTGCACCTGGGGAATGGGTAGAGGCCAGTCTGGGGCCAGCCTGGGAGAAACTTCCCGTTCTAGGGCATTCCACTGGTGCCTGCAGCGATACCGTTTCACTGGGCTTTCCTTTCTAAACACGCAGGCAGCTTCTATCCCAGATTACCGGGGCCCCAATGGAGTGTGGACGCTACTTCAGAAAGGGAGACGCGTCAGGTAAGCAGCCTCGCGTAGACTTCCCGCTGAGTTGAGCAGGGCAGCAGGGGCCTGACCTGGCAGCTCCCTCATTTCCGCTCCCCTCCACCTGGCAGTGCTGCCGACCTGAGTGAGGCCGAGCCGACGCTCACCCACATGAGCATCGCCCGCTTACACGAGCAGAATCTGGTAAGAGCCCCGTGTGGCTGGCTGGTGTACTTGCCGCATCCACACGTGGGACCTGGAGCACCACCTTGGCGCCCGAGGGGCAGCTGCGTCCTACCTCTGTTAGCCAGCAGACCCCTGCGATGAGCGCCCCCCCAGCAGTTTAAACTCCTGGTTTGAGCCTCCCTTTGATCCTCTCTTGCTCCGTCTCCAAGTCATCACGGGTAGAACCCCTAGGAGACCTCTGGAGACCCTCTGCCGAGCACCTCCAACTGAGTGGGAAAGGGGTCGGTCCTCCTGGGCCTTCAGGGACCTGAAACAGTGACTCGAGAGAGCTTCAGTCTGGGCTGCATCCCTCTCCAGCCCAGGAGGGGCGATGCCCGCATCTGCCCTCCCGGTTGTTCAAGCGTGCCAGGGCTGCTGGGGGCGGGCCCTGCCAGTCCCCCTGGGACTGGCCCGCTGCCCTGGTTCAGTCTTCAAGGCTTGGTGCAAGGCAGGCATCACTGTGGTTCGGGGGTTCTGGGCCAGACTTGGGTCAGAGTCGCCACTGAGCTGCCTCCCACAGCCCTCCTGCCATCCTGTGCCTCTGCAGGTGCAGCACGTGGTGTCTCAGAACTGCGACGGGCTCCACCTGCGGAGCGGGCTGCCCCGCCCGGCCATCTCAGAGCTCCACGGGAACATGTACATTGAAGTGAGCAGTCCCTCGGGGATCTGGGGGCTGGGCGGGCCAATGCCTCCCACTCACAGTGCCCTCCGCCCCCAGGTCTGCACGGCCTGCACGCCCAACCGCGAGTACGTGCGGGTGTTTGACGTGACGGAGCGCACTGCCCTGCACCGACACCAGACGGGCCGGGCCTGCCACAAGTGCGGGGCCCCGCTCCGGGACACCATCGTGCACTTCGGGGAGAGGGGCACCCTGGGGCAGCCCCTCAACTGGGAGGCAGCCACCCAGGCTGCCAGCAGAGCTGACACGATCCTGTGCCTAGGCTCCAGCTTGAAGGTATGCAGACGGCGCCGTGGATGGGATGGGGTGATCCTGCTGGCAGCCGGCCAGCTCGGCGTGAGACCCCCGGCTTCCTATAGCCTCGTTCCCTCGTGTGTGTGGTCTGTGTGTCTGTCCGTCCATCCCCACAGGTTCTGAAGAAGTACCCTCGTCTCTGGTGCATGACCAGGCCCCCCAGTCGGCGGCCCAGGCTCTACATTGTGAACTTGCAGGTAAGTCGGTGGTCAGAGCCGCCTCCTTGGACCTGGGCCCTGGAGTGGGAGAGCCGGAGTCCCCAGGACGTTCCCGTCTTGAAGTCAGGCGCCTGCGGGGCTGGCCGAGCAGGACCCAGGCCTCGGGGCATGGGGAGGGGCATGGGGAAGGAGGGAGGCACTGTCCTCACTTGCCTTCTCCTATCCCTAGTGGACCCCCAAGGATGACTGGGCGGCTCTGAAGCTCCACGGGAAGTGTGATGACGTCATGCGGCTCCTCATGGACGAGCTGGGCCTGGAGATCCCCCCCTACAGCAGGTGAGGGGGCGCAGGCGCACCGCCCCTCCTGGCCCTGTGCGGGTGGGCCGTGTCTGTCTCCTCTCACGAGCTAAGTGTAGACGAAGCTCTGAGGTGCCGAAAGCAGTGTCTGAGGCATGACTGCAGTGTGGTGGCCTGTGTAGGGCCTGGCCAAGGCGCCCTGGCTGCCGTGACCCCTGTGGGGAGAGCCAGTCTGCGAGCATGTGCCTGGACAGTCCCCCTCGACCTCAGACAGCCTGGAGGGGAAGGTTCCCTGAAGGGACTTGCTCTTGGCAGTACTGGTCAAACAGGATTTGGTGCACTTGGTTTGGGGAGCTGGCGAACTTTGGGGAAGCTAAACAAACTGTGCCTTACTGCAGAATCTGTGATAATTTAGATGTGGTGTATGTATTGAGTAAAAAGTTTACACTTTCTTTCTCTGTGAATTTTCAGGGTCTTATAGGGGAAATCAGTAACTTCTTTTAATCAAAGGGTTCAAGATTAAGGATCCCTTCACCTTCTGGGCCTGGCGACCCTTGTATGTTATGTTTGTGGTGTTCTGTGATGTGGGCCTCTCGTGTACTGTACTTTTTTTTTTTACATGAACTTAGCTCATTTTCCTTATCAGTGCTTATCTGTATCTTACGTTTATAACATGTGGTTCTACATCTCAGTCGGACACATGCTCTCTCACCGGGTGACCTGTAGGCCACAAACCCCTAGTCAGCTGGCCATCCCTCCCGTCAAGTCTCAGGCTGGGAAGGGGGAGAGGGTCTGGTCCACCTGCCCCTGGCCATGTGAGTGACAGGTGGGGCCCAGAGTCGCTAGTGATTCATCCCTCCTTTGGGTACTGCCACTCCTGTGTATGCCCGGCCACTAGATCGCCGACGAGGACACAGTTCTGCCGAGGCTGAGCTAGCCTGGGCGCTGCCTCCTCTTGCAGCTTTCTGTAGCTCAGAGACAGCACAGCTACCAGCAGGCAGAGCCTGCCATGGCTAAGACACGGGCGGGGGCGGGGCCACCTCAGTCAGCTTTCCCGTCCTGGGGCGGGTTGTGACTGAGAGGCCGCGTGTCCCCCTGACCCAGCTTTCCCTTTCCGGTAGGTGGCAGGACCCCATCTTCTCCCTGGCGACTCCCCTGCGTGCTGGTGAAGAAGGCAGCCACAGTCGGAAGGCGCTGTGCAGGAGCCGAGAGGAGCCCCCGGCCAGCGACCGGGACGCACCCCTTAGCTCAGCCCCCATCCTCGGTGGCTGGTTCGGCAGGGGCTGCACCAAACGCACGAAAAGGAAGAAAGTGACATGACCTGGTGCTTGACTGAGAACAGCAATTGGCACTTTGCAGATGGCTAAGACTCTTATTCAGGGGCCGGTGGCACCGTGAAGGCCAGGACTGCCCCACACTATCTAGTGAGAAGTCTCTGGGGGTGACATTTTCACCGTGACATGCTTAGCCATTTGTCTGTGGGAAGCCCCCTTGCACTGCTGTGGTTGCCCCTGGCATGGGCCTGAGTGTTGAGGACACCTGGGTCATCCAGCCTCTTCCTAAAGAGGTGGCAACCACGCTTTCCTGTGAGAACAGAACTGGATTATTTCACACCGGCGGCCAAGAGGAAGCACAGGCTGCCTCGCCTCCTCCCCCTCCCCAGGCTGCTCTCAGGGGCCTCAGCCCTATTTCTACTTCTAAGAATGTTAACTTTGTAGACACCTTTTTCTGTATCGGTATGTGACAAACGGGTAGTTTCGAGCCTTGGCCCTCAGCAGACCTTTTTATTGTTATTAAACATCTTGCACTGTCTTACCCATGACACAGAGTGACTGCTGTCTGTGCCAGCGGGCCACCAGCCGGGCTCCCCGGGGAGGGGCTAGGGGTACCCCACGTGGTGCTGTCCCGCCCCTCCGCCAGGTGCGAGCGGAGGGGCGGTGCGTGGCGACCATTGGCCGCAGGCGGAG